CTCGTCGGAAGGGCCGGCCCGGGGGACCTGACCTGCGGCGGGAAGGCGGGCAGCGGACCCCTACCCCCAGGCTTCAGGCCGTGCCTGGGCGCTCCACGAGGTTTCCCCTCCGGGCAGCACCACCAGGCCCAGGGCCCGCGGGGGGGGGGGGGGAGGGACTCGCACCCCGCCCGCGCTCCAGACCCCACACCCGGGTCTCACGCCCAGCCTGCGCTTGCACAGCGTGGCCCGCCGTCCCGCCTCTCTCTGGGGCACCGCACCACTAAAGCGTTAATGCGGCGGGGGGGGGGGGGGGGGGCATTTGCAAAAACGGAGCAAGGCAGATCTGGGGTCATTGTGCTTCAGATACTGCGTGTGGTGGGTTTTTTTTTTTTTTTCTCAAACGAACAAATTGAAGGTTTGTGGCAACCTTGTGTTGGGCAAGTCTGTTGGCATCATTTTCCCCAACAGCATCTGCTCCCTTCATGGGTCACGTTTTGGGGATTCTCACGGCACTTCAAGCTTTTCAGCCACCACTCCACCTGCTACGGTGTCCTGTGATCTGGGAGCCTTCACGCTACGACTAGCGCTTTGGGGCACCACCAAGCACACTCGTGGAAGACAGTGAGCTTAACTGATAAATGTGCACGTTCTGACTCTCCCGACACCCCCACCCCGCCTCCAGGTCTCCCTCTCCATCCTCAGGCGTCCTGATTCCCTGAGAAACAACAATACTGAGACGAGGCCAGTTCCTAACCCGACAATGCCCCCCCCCCCGCAGTGTTCAAGTGAAAGGAAGAGTCACACATGTCTCACTTTAAATCCAAAACCCAAATCGATCCGTTTTAGGAAGGAAGGCAGGTCAAAAGCTGACGGGCCAAAGGCTAGGCTTCTCGAGTCAGTCAGCCAAGTTGTGAACGCAAAACGAAACTTTTCCGAAGGAAACTAGAAGTGCTGCTCCAATGAACACACGAATGCTAAGAAAGCAAGACACCCCTGCTGGTGATAGGGAGAAAGTCTGGAGAGAAGATCAAACCGATCATTAACAGTCCCTTTAAGCCAAAGCCTAATCCAGAGTGAGGCCCTAACTCTCCTGAATTCTGTGAAGGCGGAGAGATGTGAGGAAGCTGTGAAGAAAAATTCGAAGATCGCAGGCGTTGGTTCGTTGAAATTTAAGGAAAGAAGGCACCTTCGTAACATAAAACACTAAAGCAACCAGTGCTGATGTAGAAGCTGCAAGTTACCCACCCAGCAGATATACTTAGTGAAGGTGGCTGCACCAAACAACAGATTTTCAGTGTAGACAGAAGAGCCTTATAAGAAAACGTCATCTAGGACTTTCCTAACCAGAGAGACGCCAGCGCCTGGCCTCAAAGGAAAGGCTGTCTTGCTGGGGACTAATGCGCTTGGTGACTTTAAATTGCAACCAAAGCTAACTTACCACTCTGAAAACCCCCGGGCCCTCAAGGCTTGTGCCAAATCTTCTCTGCTCGTGCTCTACACACAGAGCAAAACCTGGATGACAACACATCTGTTTACAACATGGTTTTTACTAAATTTTGTGAGCCCGCTATTGAGACCTACTGCTCCAAAAAAAAAAAAAAAAAAAAAAAATCCTTTCAAAATATTACTGCTCACAGTAATTTACCTGGTCACCCAAGGGCTCTGATGAAGATGAACGAGACTGGTTTTCGTCACTGGTATCCACTCTGCAGCCCCTGCATCAAGGACTGATTTCAACTTCTACGTCTTCTAAGAAATACATTTCGTAAGGCTATTGCTGCCATAGACAGTGATTTGTCTACGGGATCTCGGGAAAGTAAGCGGAAAACCTTCTGGAAAAGAGTCTCCATTCTGGATGCCAGTAACATCTGTGAAGAAGTGAAAACAGGGACTCTTGCTGTTTTACACCGCTAAGAGTAGCTGAGATGGTGGAAATAACCCAAATGTCCGCTGATGGATGAACGAACAAATCATGGTGTATGCATACAATGAATACTACTCAGCCTTAAAAAAGGAATGAAATTCTGACTTTTGCTACAACATGAACCTTAAAAACATTCTGCTAAGTGAAAGAAGCCAGACGCAAAAAGGACAAATATATTCAATGATTCCATTCATATGAGGTACCTAGAATATTCAAGTTCAGAGAAAGAGAAAGAATAGTCATCTCCAGGGGTGGGGGGCAGGACAGCATGAGGGCTTAGTTTTTAATGAGTTTTAGTTTGGGATGACAGAAAGTTCTGGAGATACACAGTAGGGATGATCACACAACATGAATATACTTCAGGCCACAGAGCTGGAATCCCAAAAGAGTTAAAATGTACATTTTATGTATGTTTTACCACATTAAAAATGAATTCATAAATAAGTAAAAGTAGATTCACTGACAGGAGAAGCTTTATCTTGTCCTGTGACCTGAAAGAAGTTTCTTCAGTAGAAACTCATTAAGAAGAAACATTTTTAAAAGCAAGGTCTTCATTTTAAAGTAGAATGTGCTAAAGGGCTGATTTTAACACCTGTCAATGTACATACACACGGCATTAAGTCAAATACTGGTTAATACAAACAATCCTGTAAGGGATCAAAAGAAATTTAGAATCTCTTGATGATCTGATAGGATATAAAAAATGAATTTAAGTACTTAGGTGATGGCCCACATCAAATATCCTTTTGGCAAGCATACATAAGCAGTTATTGAGCTTTTGATAAATATCGTGAAGCCGGGTTTGAGGATGCTCTCCTGTGGCTAGTACTTAGAGAGTTTACTGGAGAAAGGACTTTTACATAGAATAAAAAAAATACGACACGAAAAGATTCTCCACATTATTAGCCATCAGGGAAATGCAAATTAAAACCAGAAAGAGATACCATTTCAACCCTTGGGACACTAATGAGGAAGACAATATAACAAGGGCTGGTAAGGATGCAGAGAAACTGGACTCAGGGCTTTAGTACCCTTTTCATTTAGAAATCATTCAGACTCTGCCAATGAAATTCTCAAGAAATAATCCTCTAATGTCTGCACACTGTATTCCTCTGAGGTCTAATTTCACAAAGAAAACTTAACTGAAAAGTCACTGTAGGATTTTTTAACGTTCTTTTCCTGAATTTTACTTATCAATGGAGTCTCTTTAGATTTCAAGATATGTATTTCCCAGATTGTAGGGGATCATACAGCGCTGTTCAGAATGAAAAACGATGTACTCACTTGGAAAACAATTTGGCAATTTCTTAAAAAGTTAAACAAAAACTTACCATAAGAGCCAGCCACTCAGGTGTCTACCTAAGAAAAATGAAGATGTGTCTACAGACTTACACGTCAATGTTCAAAGCAGCATTATTTTTAACAGCCAAAAACTGTAAACAACCCAAATGTCCTTCAACTGGTGAATGGACAAAATATGGTGTACCCCTAAAATAGGGTATCATTTAATAATAAAAATAAAGGACTGATTTGCTACAACACGCATTTAGAAAATACATAAATGAAAAACAAAAGACCACATACGATCCCATTTGTATAAAACATCCAGGAAAGGCAACTCTACAGAGACAAGAGTGTAAACTGTTGAGTGGTTGCCTGAGACTAGGTGTGGGAATGGGGATCTTACTGAGGTGGTAAAATGTTCCGAAAATGGATTATGGTGATGACTGTATAACTCAGTGGATCTGCCAACACTCACTGAATTGTACACTTGAAATGACTTTTTTAGGTAATTTACACCCAGATAAACTTGTTAAGGAAAACCCCTATGTTCCAGATACCCAACTGATACTGGTATAAAACATCCTCTTATGAATGCTGGAGGACGTAATCAGTAAACATCATGGAACATGCCTCAAGAATTTTACACATTTCTCTCTATAAATTGTATCTTTTTGGGAAAAAACCCACCAGGGTTTATATACGCTCAGAAAAAAACATAGACCAGGATGAATGATTCTCATAAGCCACATTCCTTTCATGGCTAGAATGTCTCTGGTTGGTCCGTTTAGCAGTAACTACGCAGATCTGTTTACCACACAGCAGTGTCTGTGAACCACAAGCTTTTGGATGGGGGGTGAGGGTTGGGGAGTTGGGAAGAAACCAAAAGCATTATCATTGCAAACCTATACCCATTAAATCACAGCAAATATTGCTGAGTCTCCGATCAGCATTAAGGATCTCTTCCCTTCCATAAGCCCCAAGTTCTGTTTTCCTTCTCATTTATCTAGGAGCTCCCTCAAGTTTCAACTTTAGGAACTTTTTGGTACCATATTGTACGGCGCCTCCAGAACCCAAAGACTTGAGACCTAAACCTGACTCAGGGTTTTCATTCCTTTTTCAGTCAGAAAAAGTATTCACACCCCACCAATGGGATTCAGAAGAAATAATCCACAAATATCTGCTCACCCTCCTTTTCAGGTCTACTTTCACAACAAAACACTTAACTGACAAAGTAATTTTGTGTGATTTGTACAGTCTTCTGGTTTTTACTATCAATGGAGTCTCCTTAGACCTTAGACTGCGTACTCTCCAGATGGCAGGGGATCATAGTATCAGGTTTCTGAAATGGGGCAAGTCAGGTCCTATAAATCAGAGAACTAGGCCAGTAGAAGAGTAGATTAGATTCCCTGTGTAAAGGTAGCAGCTGCTACCCCAAACCAGCTGACTATTCCACTAAAAATATGGGCCAGGGGTGTCAGCCCTTATAATTTTTCAAGGCAAGCCTTTTTTTTTTTTTTGGTATGAAATCTCCTAATTTTCAAATAGTGACAACTAGTTACACACACACACACACACACACACACACACCCCTTACCATGCAGACCAATCAACACATATCCAATGGCCCAGTCTTAACTTGTGAGCTTTGTCACCATACACGTTTGTTTCCACTCCGATTACGGGAGGGGCTGTGCTTGGGATACACAAACTCTTAAAAAAATAGAATTCTATTTTGTAAAAGATAATCCATCCAGAATAGCTCTGTTTTCAGCACCCGTTTCCTCCCCCACCCCCCCTTCCCAGCCCCCAACCTACTTTCCCAGGACTGGTACCCTCATGGCTGAGATGGCTCCAATGTGTCCTCTAGATTCCTAATCCCCTCAGTCACAGCCCAGAGGGAAAAACAGGTTGGAGAACTTTGTCCAGTGGGAACATTCCCTGAAGACACACCCGTGTGAGCTCCTCCGACTCCTTCCTGTTGATATTCTGGGATTCCAGCATCAGGCATTCAGAGTATACTGCATTCTCACTAAGCTAGAAGTCCAGAATCTTAAATGAGTACTTTCCTACTAGAGAAACTTGAAACTTCCAATGAACCAAACGTGTTTAGCTTATTCCCACAGCTTCAGAGGGTATCAGAGGTAAACTTAGAAGTCGTGAGCCCCACCCCCTTCATTCCACCAGCAAAGAAACTAAAATTTAGAAACGTCAAATGATGTGCCCAAGGTTATATAGTGAGTTGGCTGGCAGAATGGGTACAGAACCCAGAACCCAGGTTATGGCTCAAGCCCAGTTCTTGCTAGAAGCAAGGATTATATGAAGAAGGCCGCTTCTCCGGAAGTAGAGGTTCTTGGGTGGGTCCCGTGAGCCTCCTCTTGCTTTTTAAATTTGCATTTGGCCTTTCAGAATCATTGCACATATCATCCTGCTTTCTTCATTTTCCACATGACTTTACCAACCTTAATTATGATTTGCTGAAGAGTGGTGAATTGCAGAAAGTGTTTTTCGCCAGCTGCCAACCCATCAAAGTTGTAGCTACTAATTGACGCTGTGGTAGTTTCCACCCCAGGGTTTTAATAAGGGACCATTTGATGAGATTCCACCCCCATCCCCCCCCCCACCTTCCTGTATTTCAAGAATTACTCTCCAGAATGAAATCCCCGATGTCTGATGAGGCCTGAGTTACTCTTAAATGTCTTTTCACATTCATTACATTCATACTCTCTCCTCCCAGTGTGGATTTTGAGGTGTTCTACAAGGATCGAGCTCCGGCTGAAGCTTGCTCCACAGTAGCTACATTCATAGGGCTTCTCTCCGGTGTGAATACGGTGGTGCTCATTAAGCGATGAACTCTGACTGAAGGATTTCCCGCATTCTTTACATTTGTAAGGTTTTACGCCAGTATGAATTCTCTGATGCCGACTGAGGAGTGAGTGGGTAGGGAAGGCTTTCTCACACTGGTTACACTTGTAGGGCTTTTCTCCTGAATGAAGTCTCTGGTGATAAATGACAGATGTAAAATGGCTAAAGGTCATCCCGCAGTCGTTACACAAGTAGGGTTTTTCTCCAGTGTGGATCCTCTGATGTCGAGTAAGGCAAGAATTCTGTCTGAAGGCTTTTCCACACTCCCCACATTTATAGGGTTTCTCTCCAGTATGAATCCTCTGGTGTTTGGAAAGGGACGAGCTGTGACTGAAGGATTTCCCACAGTTGTTACACGTGTAGGGTTTTTCTCCAGTATGAATTCGCTGATGTTGGATAAGAGATGAACTGTCACTGAAGGGTCTCCCACATTCTTTACATTTATAGGGTTTTTCTCCAGTATGAACTCTCTGGTGTTTGATGAGGTGGGCACTCAGGGTGAAAGCTTTTCCACAGTCATCACATTTGTAGGGTTTCTCTCCACTATGAGTTCTGTGATGCGGCGTGAGGGATGAACTGTCACTGAAAGCTTTTCCACACTCATTGCACATGTAGGGTTTCTCCCCTGTGTGAATTCTCCGGTGTTTGGTCAGTGAGGCACTATAGCCGAAGGCTTTTCCGCATTTACTGCATTTATGGGTTTTCTCTCCCATCTCAGCTCCCTCATCTTTATCTGAGGTTGTTTCTCGATTTAAAATTTTCCAACATTTTTCACACATAGAGGACTTTTTTTTCTTAAAGGATGAGCTGTGTGTAAAGGCTATCCCACAGTTAGTGCACTTCCGGGCCTTCCCCGCAAAATGTACTTTCTGATGTTTCTGATGTTCGGTGAGGGATGAAGAGTGACCTAAGACTTTCCTGCCTTCATTACATTTCCGTGGCTTTTCTCCAGTGTGTTCTTTGCGGTTCAGAATAAGGTCTGAGTGAAAACTAAAGGGCTTCTTGCCTTCATTATACCTCCGAGATTTCTTCCTTAAGTAGACTCTCAGATGTTTAATTATGTCCGAGGTTTGCCTGAAATTACTTCCAAAGGGGCTCTTTTCTGGGTCAAATTCCTCACCCTTACTGCCTCTCCCATGAGATTTCTTTTGTGGGACTGCGAGTTGTGAATATTCCTTACTACCACGCTTCCGGGACTCTCCCATTGAGCCATAATTACCACTCATTAGGCATCTTTCTATTATTTTATCTAAAGTTGATTCATCCAGAAGAACATCTTGATTTCGAAAGGATTCCTTCGATTCACCTGTAGGTTCACACTCTAAAAGAAATAACAAATAGAATGTGTTCTGTTTGCAATAAAGGAAGCTGTCCTATTTGGGACTCAGACAGGAAGAGAGATAGCAAGGACCATGAATTATATGAATATGGCTTGGGTGGTTTTCAGAATCTTATGAAACAGAGAAAGAAAAAGTAATACAGAGAAACGAGGTATAGTGGTTAAGAAAAATATTGGGGAGGGATCCCTGGGTGGTGCAGCGGTTTGGCGCCTGCCTTTGGCCTGAGGCGCGATCCTGGAGACCCGGGATCGAATCCCACATCGGGCTTCCGGTGCATGGAGCCTGCTTCTCCCTCTGCCTGTGTCTCTGCCTCTCTCTCTCTCTCTCTACGACTATCATAAATAAATAAAAAAGGAAGAAAGAAAGAAAGAAAGAAAGAAAGAAAGAAAGAAAGAAAGAAAGAAAGAAAGAAAGAAAGAAAGAAAGAAAGAAAGAAAGAAAAAAAGAAAAGAAAGAAAGAAAGAAAGAAAGAAAGAAAGATAGATAGATAGATAGATATATAGATAGATAGATAGATAGATATTGGGGAGAGGCGCCTGGGTGGCTCAGTGGTTGAGTGTCTGCCTTTGGCTCAGGTTGTAATCCTGGGGTCAAATCCCACATTAGGCTTCTTGTGGGAAGCCTGCTTCTCTCTCTCTGCCTATGTGTCTCTCATTAATAATAATCTTTTAAAAAAGAAAAATATTGGGGAAAACGAAAAGTTAATGCCTTACAGTTAGATTAAAATGCAAGTTCTCACCTTCCTTTCAAATTTCTGCAATAGGTTCATTATTGCTCTCTCTAGATCCAATCTATTCTCTTTCCAAAGAAAAATGACAGTGCAAATGTTTACTGAATCCAGGCCCCATATCAAGCACTGTATTTGTATTTTCCCTTAATCTTCCTAACAACCCTATAAAGTAGGTCCTGATATCATCCCTGTTTTGTGGATGTGACAACTAGGCACACAGAGTGTAAATAGCTTGTCCAAAGTCACATGTATTGTAAGCGACAGAGCCAGATTTTTAATCTAGTCTGACAACAAAGCCCCTACTTTTGATCGCTACACCACATTGCTTTTCAAAGCAGCCGAACAGCACCAAGTTTACAGAAGATGTTCATCACCTCACAGACATACGGCATTGCATACACTAGACTTTCAAAGGTTACCATGGTCTGGCCCTATCAACCTTACGGATACGCTCTATTCAAGCATCTGTTCACTGTCCCTACCACACTACAGTGTTTTTAATCCTATTCTTTCAGTGTCTGCTCTACCTCAAATGCAATCCCACAGCACCTTCACAAACACAAACACCTAGGGCTTCAGGTTCAAATCCTCGCCTTCTCTACTACCATACTCTATTTACACTCTTCTCAGAACTCTGAACTCACTTAACAACCACATCATTCATCTTGGCTCTTCATCATGAGATCACACCATCACTGTCACAAAACTATTTTTTAAAGAATTAACTATGAAACCCAAAATTCAATTCCCCAGAAATTAACCATTATTAAAAATTTGGTGCATTTTTAAAAGATTTATTTGAGAAAGAACACTTGCATGCATGTGTGAGCAGAGGGGAGGGGCAGACAGAGAAGGTGAGAGAACCTCAAACAGACTTCAAGATGAGTGTGGAGCCTAATGAAGGGCTCAATCTCCTGACCTCAAGATCATGACCTCAGTACAGTTGCTTTAAATGTGTATTTCATTGTTGACCAGTGACTTAGAACTTTTATTTCAAGATTACAGCAATTTTAGTTTTGTCACTTATTTTTGTCAGCTATCTGCTCAAGGTCTTCACCCATTTTTTTAATAGACTGCACTCCTTACCGTTTTGCTTAAGTATTTTATAAATTATAGCTACCGATTCTGCTTTGTCTGTCAAGAGCTTCTTCTCCAGTCTGCTGTAAATAATTCTGTATTTATTTATTTATTTTAAAGATTTATTTATTTTTTAAGATTTTATTTATTCATGAGAGACACGGAGAGAGAGGCAGAGACACAGGCAGAAGGAGAAGTAGGCTCCTTGTAGGGAGCCCGATGTGGGACTTGATACCAGGACCCTGGGTCACAACCTGAGCCTAACGAAGGCAGGTGCTCAACTGCTGAGCCACCCAGACGTCCCTGTAAATAACTTTTTAAACAAGTTGTACATCTACATGATGTTTCTAGGAAAGAGGGGCACATATTTATACTGAAAACGATCAACAGGTTGACTTTGGTTAAGATGGAATAGAGTGAAGTCAAATTACAGATTTTTTTCTTTAAAATTAAAAAAATAGTAAAGTATTGATATATAAGCAATAATTTATTTTTTAAACATAAATTTTAATATGCTTATTGTTAAATTTTAAGATAAAAGATGAAGAAAAAATATAATCCTTCAAAGATAACCAGGGTTAACATGAATGTTCCTGAGACATTAAAAAAAACAATCTCTATGTATACTGAGATATATACATGTATATATAAGTCATTTTCCTTTTAACAAAAATTAGATCACACTCTCCATGCTGTCTGCTGGACGAATTCCCACTTATCCTTCAAGATTCAACTTACGTGTTAATTAAGCCATCACTCCTGCATTTCCCACTGCCCCTCATACAGGTGTTAGTATAGCACACATCCCACTAACACCTTGTGTTTTGGTATCTGTATGCTGGCGTCCACAGAAACGCGCTTCTCAGATCTCCAGCTCTGGGGTGCTCACGTAACGGCCCCAGGGGCTGCTCTCTGATGCCCACCCCAGCATTCACGCCAAGACCACTTTCCCACAGGCTGCTCCCAGTCAATGCCAAGTAGAGTAGGAACCCTTGGGCAGGCCCATTTCTGTGAGACACAGGACTCCTGATGGGCCACTCCTCATGGGCCACTCCGGCTGGGGAACTTTTCTTTGGCCTTGCCAAAATTTTCTTAAACTGCGCATCAGTCTAAGATGCTTCCTCCCCAACCTTCCTTCCTTCCCTATCTCATTCACAGGTGTGTTATACCCACATTATGCTCTGAGAGCCCTCCCCATTTTCATTCACGGCAAGTCTCCCCCAGAAGTCCCTGGCAGAGCTAATCATGCCTTGGCATCTACTTCTCAGAGGACTAAACTAATGTTCTCTCCACTAAAATGAATATTCCAGGAAGCAAGGGGGTATATCATAATCACCTTCCTGTTTTAGCATCTAGCCCATGCGGCATTTCAAAAGCTTCTCATAAACAATTTGGTGAAGCAACTATTTTAATTTGTCTGCTTTTCACCAACTCACCTGATCTGGAGCCTTTTGAAACTTCTTTTTCCAGCAGCCACGGCAGTTCAACCCACTTAAACTGGGAAATCAAATCTAATTTGGAAACTGGAAAGCCTGCTCAGAGAAAAGAATAAAAAATAACTGTTTCTGCACAGGGCAAAGGTGGTCCAGCATTCACACAGAGCCTCCGGCTCCCCAAGAGAAGATGCTATCAAATATAGACATCAATCCTGGTATATGAGGAGGAACGGGGGAAGGTGTGCCCTGGATGACAGCACAGCGATACTCAACACTTCCAGCTCAATGAAGCAGAAACTCTTTTTTAGAGAAGACACTGCAGAAAAGTACATTTTCAGAACCCACTTTTAGGATTAGTCATATTATCCCTGCATGCCTGGTCAATATAGTTAATAGCACTCATCTTTCAGTAATAGTGGATGAAAAGATACACAGTTTATACATTAGATCATTAAGAGACAGCTTTACCCAGAAACTCTAGGTTCTTCAAGTTCTCCAGGAGCACTTCCTTATAGAGCTCCTTCTGAAAAGGCTCCAGCCTCCTCCACTCTCCTCTGGAAAAGTTCACTGCCACATCCTTGAATGTCACAGATTCCTAACAGACACAAGAAATACAGTCTTTCAGCACTGGATTAACATCCACAGGTTCCAGGGATTAGGAACTGGACATATTTTGGGAAGCCATTATCAGTCTACTAAAGAGGTATGAATTACTATCGTGAACAAGATTTTCTGTTTCGGGGCACCTAGGTGGCTCAGTGGGTTAAAAGCGTCTGTTTTTGGCTCAGGTCATGATCCCAGGGTTCTGGAACTGAGCCCTGGGTTGGGCTCCCTGCTCAGTGGGGTGCCTGCTTCTCCTTCCCCTTTGCCCCTCATGCATGCATATGCATACTAATAAATAAAATCTTTAAAAAAAAGAATTTTGGGGGACTCCAGGGTGGCTCAGTGGTTGAGCCCTGCCTTTGGCCTGGGGCGTGATCCCAGGGTCCCTGGAGAGAGTCCCACATTGGGATCCCTGTGGGGAGCCTGTTTCTCCCTCTGCCTGTGTCTCTGCTTCTGTGTATCTCATGAATAAATAAATAAAATCTTTAAAAAAAATAAAAATTTTTCTGATTTGTAATTCATCGATTACAAATTATTCTTTGATTTGTAACCAGCCCCTTTTCTCAACTACCATGAGTTTTAGTAGTTGTTCAGTTGATTCTCAGATGTTTTCCAAACAGACCATTTATCTGCAAATAACACCCATTTGTCTCTTACATACCAATACTTACCTCATTTCCTTCTTATCTTACTGCATTGGCTAGAATATTCAAAAGCTCATCAACTGCAGCATGATTAGACATCTTTATCTTTACAGGCATTGTGAGAGCTGCTTTTTATTTTTCCAATACCGTTCAGCTAGGGATTTTTTTATTATATTAAGGAAATAAAATTCTATTCTCACTTGACTAATTTTATCAAGAATAACTGTAGAATTTTAATAAATTTTTTGTTTTTCTTAGAATCAGACGTATGACAAATTCTGGTAAGTGAAGTAGAACACCATCTGAAGAATGAGCTCAAAGAATGTGAAGAATGTGAAGGAAACTGTCTTCATTATTCTAGTATCTTTATACCACTCTGTAGGAGCTCAGTAGGAGCTCAGTTAAGTATTTGCTTAAGAATGAAAACCAGTGAAAGGAAGCTTACCCGGGACTCAGTTCTCGGAAGGACAGAAACCATTTTATTTTCTTCAGGGTTCTCCTCTTGGGAAATAACAGACTCTTGAGAGACTGGATCTGGGAAGGGGAAAAGAACACTATAGTCTTTCAGATGCATTCCTCAGACTAGAAATTCTTATACATGTCTCTCTGGAGGAAAAAGTACAGAAGAAACAAATATTTTTTCCCACTCTAAAACTGAGATAGATTAAAAAAATAAATAAAATAAATAAATAAAACTGACTAAAAGCCACAGATACACTTTTTTAAAAATCCAAGCTTCTCCCCTGCTCCATAAAATACCCTTTCTTTTTTTTTTTTTTTTTTTTTTTTTTTAAATTTTTATTTATTTACTATAGTCACAGAGAGAGAAAGAGAGAGAGGCAGAGACACAGGCAGAGGGAGAAGCAGGCTCCATGCACCGGGAGCCCGACGTGGGATTCGATCCCGGGTCTCCAGGATCGTGCCCTGGGCCAAAGGCAGGCGCCAAACCGCTGCGCCACCCAGGGATCCCAAAATACCCTTTCAATTCCTAAGCTCACCATAAGTGATTTCATTCAATCCACACACCTACAGTTTTAATGTGTTTAATTTACAGGATGGTTTTTAAAATATTCAAAGGATGTGCTAAGGTAAAACAGCGTATTTGCTTTATTAATTCATTTGTTTTCTTCCTAGGCCTAGCATAATGCCTTGCAGAGAACCACTTATTGAATGGAAGCACTAAGCTGGTCTCAGGAACAGACTTCTCTTCTGAGGTCACCAGCAGTTGCCTAAAGACAGAAATGAGGAATCTGAACATACCAAAAAATGACATACCCTGAGATGTCAACAGCTCTTCTTCCAATACTGATAAAGTACTTTTTAGATCATCCTTTATTGTCTTATGAAAAGAATTCTAGGCAAGCTTATTGATTAGACAACCAACAGAAATTAAGAAGCAAAATTATGTAATCAGAAAGAAGGGACTCTTTTAAGGAAACTGTTCTTACCGAATGCTAAAGCAATCAATTCATGAACTTCTTTATTGCAAAGCCTTCCACAGAGAGGCTCTAATTTTGGAGAAGCACCATGTTGCAAGGACAGACAAGTCAGAGAAGTCAGGAAACCCAAATGTTGAACATACCGATTAGCTATGTGACCACAATTTAACTCTGCGGAGGTAAATGCATTTCCCCACCTTGGAACTTTTTGTAGAATACAAACTGTCCCACATATGTATTGAGAACTTTATGGTAACTCACATGCTACACACATTTGGAACATCTATAGCATATTAGAGGGAGTTTAACAAAGTTGACCACATGCCCCTAAAGGGCTATCAACCCAAGTCTTTTTATCAATATTTTTCAATGATATGTTACAACTCAGTTTATATCCTATACATTTGTATATGTATAATAATGTAATTTAAAAAATACAAGTGAAAAAATTCAAGTGAACTATTCCTCCTCTAATGCTGTGGAGCTGCACTATTCAATAGGGTAGCCGATCACCACATATGGCTATTTAAGATTCAATTTCTTATTTGCCCTAGTCACAAAGTGCAAAATAGTGCAGAACCATTTCCATCATCACAAATATGGGCACCCCAATCTAGAAACTTGCTCCTGCCCACTGGAGGCAGAAGTTGAGGCCTGGAGTGGTTGATATGCTTGTGACTCCAAATAATTTCAGATGATCTTCTTCTCTCCTATGTTCTAAGAATCCCTCTTACTCAAGGCAGAAAGGAAAGAAATTAGGATTATACCTTATCATGTTTAACCCTCACAAGAAACTAAGCAGATTGGAACCCCATTTCACCAGGTTAAAAAAAAAAAAATAAAGGTTCTGAAAAGTTACATAGCTTGCCCTAGATTACACAGTAAGAGGCGGAGCTGATCCTATGCCATTCCCACCCCCAAACTCAGACTCATTTTCAGCAATCAACTGCTTTCTTTGGGGGAGTTTCCTTTCACACCTTGAGGCGATCTCTCCCTCTTAGTCCTCCCATCTATATATCTCACCTTCCTTCTCTTCAAGCATTTGGGTCAAATCCTCTATTAGGGTCACCACCTCCTCACTATTCTCAGGATGTTGAGACTTTACCCAAATCCTCATCTCCCCAGGCAAAATGGTCAGGAACTGCTCAAACACCAAAAGCTCTAGAATCTGTTCTTTCGTGTGGATGTCTGGTCTCAGCCACTGCATGCAGAGATCCCAGAGCTGATTTAGGGCTTTTCTGGGTCCAGCCACTTCTGAGTAACAGAACCACCTGAATCTCTGTCTGAAAGTCTCTGGGTCAGCACTGTCTCCTCTCGGGATAGCTTCTTGATCCCCAGGAGTTTCCATCCCTAGGACCTTATTTGGTTCACTTGAGACCAGAGTCTGAGGATCTGGAGAGATGGTGGTCATCTTATTCAAGGGTTCTACAGCTTGCAGTGTGTATCAGCAGCAGGAATCCAATCCCTGTAGACTCTAGTTGCCAGGACAGTCCACCAACAGGCACTAGAGACAGCAAAATATCAAAGGCTCAAAGCATTCATTCAGCTTCTGGTTTTGCAGAAACTGCCAAAAAATAGGAGATGTTAGGTAAGTAAAACAAATTATTACTCCTAAAAACATTGTTGTTGGTTTGGTTCAGATATATATCAACATACCCAGAGGCCTAGAACAACCCTGTCCAACCTCTACATTAAAAGGAATAATTTTCTTTTGTAGGTGAAAAGCTGAGGAGTTATTTATGGGTAACTAACGATACCCTCCAAGAAAAATTTCTCCAGACTAAATACTCCTCATAAGCAAAAGGGATGAGAAAAGGGTCACTGCTCCAAGAGAATCCAGTCCCAAATTTATTCAACTGCTCCTGACATACCACAGTGAAGAGCCACACATTTCCCACCCAGGTGCCCAACGCAGAAGCCTGATTTTATATTTGCCCCTCAAATTTCTCACATAATCAATAACCAAGTTCTGGCAGTTTTATTTCCTAAGAACCTGTCCATTCACTTCATCCACCTAACCACAGGTTTCTTCAATCCAGTCTCACACTGCAGCCTAAGGATTCTTTCTAATATGCAAAACTGGGTCCTATCACTCCCCATCAGTCCCAAGGTAAAATTCAAATGCAAAGGCCATGCTTGATGATCTAGAGACCCTGCTCAGAGGAACCTCACCCCTTGAGCTCTAGCTGCCTCTGAGAGATGCCACAGTCACAAAGAAGTCTCTCTCCAATCCCACACACCCTCCACCCCCTTCCATCCTCTGCACTGAGCGGTTCCCTCTCCTTGGAACCTGCGTTCTTCCCCTCTCCTACCAAACTCTCCCTCATCTTTCAAAACTTGACTCCTTTCAACCGTCACCTCTTGTACAAAGCTTCCTCTGATCCCCCAGTGCTCTTCTGCACAGAGCCTACGCTGTGTTACACGCGTTCTTCCACTCTGCAAATAACTGAACATCAGGACACTGTGGGCACACGCGGGGGCCGATGAGGCAGGGTCCCCACCCGCAGACGGCACGCAGGAAGGGACCGCACAACCTGAGAAGTGCTACAATGCGCCAGGTGAAAGCACACTCTCCACCTCCTGCAACTATTATACCCTTAACTGCCCACCTCCCAGCAGCACACAGCCCGGCACACATGCATGCATGACGTCACTTATTCCTTCGCCAAATGTTAGGCGCCCACCACGTACCTGGCGCCGCGCTGAGCACCTGGGGCTGCGCGGGGACTGAGACCCGCTCTCGGTCTCCAGGGAGCCTACCAGGGAAGCTCCCCGGAAAATGTGACGCAGGTGGAGAGTTCTCAAGGGAGGGGGGCGCCGAAGACGTTTTGGTTATCACGCCCGGAGAGGAGGGGGCGACTGTACCGACCCAGTGGGGGCAGCCGGGGATGCTGCTCAACACCCTGCACTCACCGCGGGGCTCCCCCCACCGTGGCGCTCCCCCCACATCAAGGCATTTTCCCGCCCAAAACGTCCGCGGACCCAACTCGCCGGACCGTAGGCGCAGGGAGGGGATGGAGAAAAGCTCCGTCATTCGGGACCCTGCCCTCCTCCCCGCGGAGGCTGCGGCCCCGGGTGCACGGTGAGCTCGCCCGGCTCCCTGCGCGCCCCGGGGCCGCGCGACCTGGCCGAGGCCCCCACACCAGGGGCCCGGGACGACCGCTACCTGCATCCGCACCCGCAGTCAGGACCGACGCCACCGCAATGAGCTTCTAGAAACTGGTCCTGCAGGAGCTGCGCGCGCAAGCCGGCGGAGGGGGGCGGGGAGGGAGCGCTGCGCCTGCGCAAGGGCGCAGAACTACGACTCCCGGAATGCGTTCGTCCGGCCCGGCGAGAGTCCTGTGTTTTCCATAGGCTCCCACCTGGCCGGCTGCGCAAGGTCAGTGGGGAAGGGTGGTGGGCTCGGCCGCGGAATTCTTGCTGCGCCAGAGGCCTAGAGGCCCGGAGCCGGCTCAGGTTCTCAGATGTGCGATGCTGGGTTTCCTTGGTAACCTCAAACCATCCCCCTCCCTCCCCTCGCTGCCCTTCCCTGAAATCCAGCCTGGAAAACCCCACTGCAGAAGACCAGGGATGCATTCTATGCAAGCCATAACGAGTGCCGCCACTTTGAATTTGAACACATACTAATTTTGTGACTTTTACACCTGCCACCATGGTCCAAGACCCCATCCTGCCTCCCCTGGATGCAATATTGCAATAGCCTATTGAATGCACTTTTTTCTTTTCTTTTTTTTTTACCCTGCCAACTGAGAGACGGTTAAAAACGTAAAAACAAATTATGTCTCTCTTTTGCTTAAAACCCTGCAAAAGCTTCCCATTCCCCTCAGAGAAAAACCCGAATTTAAACAGTGGCAAAGCTTGATAGAATCTGGTCATCCGCAACCTGCCTCGCATCTTCCTGGACCTAACTGATCCAGTCACAATGGTCTGTTTGCTCTCCCTCTCCTTCCAACCGCGCGCTTCTGGCTACATGCTCCTCCCGGGGTAGCCATATGGCTCACTTTCCCTGCCTTCCAGATCTTCTCCATGAAGCTCTCCCACCACACTGCTTAAAATGGAACTGCACCCCTCTCTACTCCTGTTTCCCTTTCTAACACACAATTTTCTTGTTTACTACTTACTGTCTATCTTGTTTTTTTTTTTTTTTTTTTGCCTGTCTTGATCACTAGAATACTGATTCCATAAGAGTAAGGATCTTTATCTGGTTTGTTCCATGACACACAATCTCCAGGCCTTAGAACAGTGCTTCGTGCATAGTAGAGCTCAGTAGATTTGTTGAATTTATGAATGGACGCTTGCCTGGATTCCTGGGGGCATAGCAAAAAGGGCTGAGAAACTCCAGAAGGATTGTTTGGAGGGTACTAATAACTAGATGACTTTTGGAGAGTTGGTGTTGGGAGAGAAAAACATTCTAGGGGCACCTGGGTGGCTAAGTGCTGAAGTGTCTGCCTTTGGCTCAGGTCGTGATCCTGGGGTCCTGGGACTGAATCCCACATCAGTTCCCCGCACAGAGCCTGTTTCTCCCTCTGCCTCTGTCTCTCATGTCTCTCATGAATAAATAAATAAAATCTTAAAAAGAAAAAAGAAAAACATTCTAGATGGAAAAGACCACAGTGAGTCAAGGCCCTGAGACTTAAAAAATTTTTTTCAAAGATTTTATTTATTTTTTCATGAGAGACACAGAAAGAGAGGCAGAGACACAGGTAGAGGGAGAAGCAGGCTCTGTGCAGGGAGCCTGATGTGGGACTCAATCCCAGGAATCTAGGATCACACCCTGAGCCAAAGGCAGACAGGCACTCAACTGCTGAGCCACCCAGGCATCCCAAGGCCCTGAGACTTTAAAAGGACAGAGCAAGCTCAACCAGATGAACCACTGGGTTCATTTCACAGGCAGGGGGTAGGCTGAAGAAACTGCCCACAGTCAAGAAGAAGCTATCCCAGTCCCAGGTCTGAGTACATATGCTTCTCCTCTACCCACCTCTCCTTGTCAGGCTGAAAATTAGACATCAAGGAGAAGCTGGATAAAACAGAGAGACATGAAATAAAATTGACTCATAGGTTTAACAGGGCAAGTCAGAGAAACTTTAAGTAGTGACTCTCAAACTGTATGTGCCTTGGAATCACATGGCATTCTTCATTTGAATACGAATGTGGGACTTTCCCCTCCAAAGCCCATGGTGGGTGATCCTTGGACTACACTTTGAGAAACATTAACACTAGTTGACTCCTAACTCTGGGAAACGAACTAGGGGTGGTGGAAGGGGAGGAGGGGAGGAGTGGGGGTGAATGGGTGACGGGCACTGAGGGGGGCACTCAACGGAATGAGCACTGGGTGTTACTCTATATGTTGGCAAATTGAACACCAATAAAAAATAAATTTATTATTAAAAAAAAAAACACTAGTTGAAATATTCCGTGAGCGGTATGCTACATACGAATAAATCTCCAGAGGAAAAAATGACTCCTTCTTGTAACTGGTAACCAAACCGTAACTTTTGATTAAATGCAACCATCATGGTAAAAAGAGTGGTGGGTTATTATACAGCAGTAAAGAAAGAGAAAAACCACAAATTAGTTTCACTTGTAAGCGGTCTGGTGGGATTTCTAGTCAGGATAAGCATGCTAAGGAATACATAATCAAATAAGTGGGCTTTTTGTTTGTTTTTTAGCTGCTTTGGCTTCAGGATGGAGAAGTGATTAGAAAGATAAGGTAGGAGGCAAAAAGACTAGTCTTGATAGGAAGTTGTGCAATAATCCAGGTGGGATGATGAAGGTGGTCTAAATGATGATGAGCTAAAAAAGATTCAAGACATAGTAGTAGTAGGATTTGGTGACTTATTGTAAATATTGATGGGTGAGAACAAAGAAATGATCAAAATTATGCACTCTATGGCAGATTATATTTTGTAAAGATGGCTGTACTGGTGTATATCCCATCTAGATATATATTATTGATATCCTTCCAATGAAAGGAGATAACTGTTTCTTTCCCTTCAGTCCCGAGTACTGAAACAGCTGACAAGATAACTGCCTTCCCATTGTCTGTTCTTTCACATTTATTCACTTTTATTAAACATCTGAGGATACAAATGAATTGAATATGGTATGGGAGTTTAATGCAATTGGACACGAACGATCAAGACAAAAAGTGACTCACAATGGATAACTTAATGCCTATTGTCTCATAAAAGACAGCATAGAAGTTTCCGTGAGATTCAAACATTTTCCTAGTACCAAATTTCTAGGAAAAGCTATTCCTTGGTTACAGGAAACTGGAAAACATAGTAACTTCTTCAAATCGAGTTTATTTTTTAGAAATGTAAAAAAAAAAAGTTATTAATGACGTAAGATAGCTCAGTGAGCCCGAGTAAAATCTTAAGGCAGAGCTCTACCTCTGCAGGCTAGTGGAGCTAACAGCTAAAGCAAACAAGGCATTGGGGAGGGTAGAAGAAATTGACAGTACCTTCAAACTTCTGAGGAGTCCTTATTTCCAACCTAGAATTCTATCCCAGGCATCCTGGGTATTTCAGGTGGAGATTGGAGACATTTTGAGACATATAAGTCTCTCAGGAAGCTCCTAGATGAGAGATCAGCAGACCATGGTCCTTAGTCCAAATCAGCCCACTGTTTTTGTAAATAAAGTTTTATTGGAACATGATCATGCTCCTTTGTTTCTGTAGTATTCATGACTGCTCTCGTGTTAAAATGACAGAGTTGAGTAGTTGTGACAGAAACTGTGTGGCCCACAAAGCCTAAACTGTTTACTAGCCAGCCCTTATAGAAAAGGTTTGCTGGGATCCCTGGGTGGCGCAGCGGTTTGGCGCCTGCCTTTGGCCCAGGGCACGATCCTGGAGACCCGGGATCGAATCCCACGTTGGGCTCCCGGTGCATGGAGCCTGCTTCTCCCTCTGCTTGTGTCTCTGCCTCTCTCTCTCTCTCTCTGTGACTATCATAAATAAATAAAAATTAAAAAAAGAAAGAAAGAAAGAAAAGGTTTGCTGACGAGGTACATAATGGAGTAGGGAGGGGAGATGATAATGCAATCAGGGGAACTTTAGAAAGATAGAAGAGGGTGCCTGGGTGCCTAACAGTTAAGTGAGCATCTGACTGGGTCCGGGGTTATGATTGGGGGGGGGGTGTCCTGGGATAGAGCTCACCCTCAGGCTCTTTCTTGAGCTCCACGCTGGGCAGAGGGTCTGTCCTTCCTCTGCCCTTCCCTCTGCCCTTCCCCTTCATGCTCATGTGTACTCTCTCAAATAAATAAACTCTTTAAAAAAAAAAAAAAGGTAGAAGAAAAATGAGTCAAGGGTGACAAGAGAGGATGGAGTTGCAAGAAATGTTTGATATTTGAGAGATGTCAGGGAGCCTAAGCTGTCTTGAAAAACCACTAAATATGATATAATATGGGGGTGTGCAAAATGAGTGAAGATGGGGAAAAGGTACAAACTTCCAGTGACAAGATAATAAAGTCCTAGGGATATAATGTACAGCACGGTGACTCTAGTTAACAAAATCTTACGGTTTAGAAGTTGCTAAGAGAGATGATCTTAAAAATTCTCATCACAAGAAAACTCTTAAACTATGTGTGGTGATGGATATTAACTACATTTATTGTAGTGATCATTTAATAATACATACATATGGTAAATTGCATTGTACACCTAGAAGGAATACAATGTCATATGTCAATTGTAGTTAATTTTTAAATTTTAAAAATACATATGTATGCTTTAAGTTTTATAAATTACATTTTCTGTTTATAATAAAATATACAAGATATTAAAATATATGCGTAAAGCATATATGTTTATATTTTTTAAATTACATTAAAACATAGAGAAATCGGGATCCCTGGGTGGCTCAGTGGTTTAGTGCCACCTTTAGCCCAGGGTGTGATCCTGGAGTCCTGGGATCGAGTCCCACAACAGGCTCCCTGCATGAAGCCTGCTTCTTCTTCTGCCTGTGTCTCTGCCTCTCTCTCTCTCTCTCTCTCTCTCTCTCTCTCTCTCTCTGTGACTCTCATGAATAAATAAGAAAAATCTTAAAAAAAAAATAGAGAGGGATCCCTGGGTGGCGCAGCGGTTTAGCGCCTGCCTTTGGCCCAGGGCGCGATCCTGGAGACCCGGGATCGAATCCCACGTCAGGCTCCCGGTGCATGGAGCCTGCTTTTCCCTCTGCCTGTGTCTCTGCCTCTCT